CGACTTCCTTTACCTTGAATATTGCGTAAGAGACATTCAAACACCATACAAGAGAGAGAGAGAACAGATAGAGGAGAGGTGATTCACAGAAGGAGAGAGAAAGAGACAGAAAGGAGGGGGGAGGCATTCTCAAAACAGAGAGTGTTTTCTAACAGTTTTCCTCCAACCTGCCCGACACACTTGACCGGAAGTTTTTTTGTTATCCTTAAGACCTTGATTAGATGATTCAGGTGTGTTTAATTAGGATTGGCGCTAAACTCTGTGGTAAACTATAGTGGCCCTTCAGGAGCAGAAGTAGACACCCCAAACCTACGCATACATAAAAATATACATTTTTATCTACAAAAGTATTTTTCTCTAAATCATCTTACTTTGATCCTCCTCAGATACGACCTTTTTCTTTTCCTCTGCCTCTCTTCGAGCTTTCCTTCCTCGTTCCTCCTCTTCCCAGTCCAAATCGACCCTTTCTTCTTTAGAATGGCGTAAGGTAAAGACAAGGTGATGGAGCTTGGCAAAGAGAAAAGGTAAATGTTATTAATATAGAGAAGTATCCTCAAGTAGCTTCAGCAGTAGCTAAAACATCTTACATGTTTGTCCTCTATGGGTGGAGTGTTGTTGCTAATGAAAAGCACCAGAATAGCAGTGCAGAAGAAGAGCAGCACTGCAAAATAAAGGTAATGAACTCCACATATAAGTGTTGGGCATTCGGAGGGAAAGAGGCAGCTTCCTGAGCCATATGCAAACTCGGGTACCATACGACACAGACCCATTACCAATCCTCCCATCAGGCCCCAGAAGGCTCCCTAAGGAACAAAAGGTAAAGATGCAAGCTTTTAGTAAATTTGTGTTCTGAATGATGTGGCATTAAACAAAGACGAAATATGTTTAAGCAGACAGTTACTTACTGACTCGTTGACCCTCTTCACAAAAATGGCAAGGAAAAAGACTGCTGCAATAGGTGGAGCTAAGTAACTGGTCACAGATTGAATATAATCAAACAGCTGACCGCTCTGGGCTGCCTGGACAACTGGGATCCAACAAATGCTAATGGCGATGATGCAGAGTATCCACACCCTGTCACAGATGTCAATGTGTTCAAACAATGAAAATAATAGAAAGAAGTGCACGTATTATGTGCATTTGGACATTAGTTGAACTCAAATGTATAATTACTTAATTATGATCAATAATATTCCTCTCCTTTATAGTAGTTTCCATGTTTGGTGGAATTCAGGAATGGGTTTGAGAAAGATAGATTTTTTTTTTCGGTCTCGTGCAAAAATTGGATTTGTACAATTTGATTTGTACGAAAACATATTTTTAGGAAAAAGAAAGCACAACGTTCCGCTCCTAGACACAACCGTCAATGGGTTGTAAGCAGATTTTGTTTTAGAATTATTAAAGCTATAAATTGAATGGTTCCAAACCTTCCTACAATCATGAGCTCTTTATCTCTAGCTTGAGGCCGGATACGAGTCCAAATGTCCATGGTGAACAAGGTACTACTGCTGTTGAAGATAGATGCTAGTGAGCTCATGAGAGCTGCTAACATGACTGCCAGCATTAAACCTCTGAGACCTGTTTAGGGATTGATTAGAGGAGAAAGAAAGTAGAAAGACAATAAAGTGTAAACCGAACAGCTTGTTAATTCAGGTAAACTCATATTAATTTTGTATAACAGTTAATAATAATTTTAAAACACTGGAAAAATAAATTCTGTTAATTACCTGTCGGCATTACAGAAACCACTAGTTTGGGGTAGGCAATGTTGGAGCAGCCAACTGCTGTGCCACACACCTCCTTACAGATGCTTGGCTCCACACAACCTACTTCTTCTAATATATATATATATATATGATTTGATTTTTTAATATTGGTATTCCTTGATCAAGATTGTAAAGACATGTATTAAATATGTTCAAATTAAAGTGCATACCAGGGTAAAGCACTCTGCTGATCATGCCTGGAAACACCATGAGAAACATAGGGAGCAGTTTCAGGTTCCCACACAATATACATCCGGCCTTTACATGCGTCAGACTGCGGGCGGCCAAACAGCGCTGCACAATTACCTGCGGAGTACAAAATGTAATGTAATGTGAAAAATTAAGCAACGAAGATGACAGAGTTACATATTTAGAATTCTTTATCCTTAAAATATTGTCCTCACCTGATCAGTACACCAGTACCAGCTACCAATAATTGCAATGCCAAATAACACACCCGGCCATGGCAAGTCCCCAGTCGTAGGATCCCTAAGTAAATGAAAGGCATCCTCTCGTGGAGTGTAACAAATGTTCAGAGATGTTTAAACTCCTCTGAGATGGCAAAGATAAACTATACTTCTCCAGTAAAGCACCGTATCCTCCAACTTCATAGAAGGCTATTGACAAATGGGGGACAACACAAAAATCAGTTTATAATATACTACTTCAGTTGTACTAAGATATTCTGTTTACATAAGTACTTATTTTAAAATTTCATTTCGTTGAGTCAACATTTGCACATTTATATGAGGTGCAGTATGACTTTGATACAAAAAAAAGTATAAGTGTGGACTGAATACTTAGACATACAATATATTTAACTGTAAATGTATTTATGATACATTTTTGAATCATAAATTCAAAATGTAATTCTGTTAAAAGACATCAATTCACAGTTATCTGCCACCTTAAAACACATAAGACCAGGTTTTTCACTAACTCAAATTCCTACTGCAATAACCACCAAAAAGTAGGCAATGATCACACTGATGTCAGCTGGATTGTTGATGGTTACATGTTTCGCTGTAGTGTTTTCCATTTTTTAAAGACCGACAGACACAATATAGTTTACGAGATGACAAGACATGAAACAAATCCAACAGATGAGGCACTTGAGGAGGAAAACTTTTCTTCATACAGGATTTGAGGGTAAAATCCACGATCTTTGCCCACATGACAAAAAAAGCTGATAAAGGAATATTATTAACAACAATAATTAACTTATTACTAGCCACTCAAGAAAGACTTGAACAGTTTTAGGCATTAAATGCTAAACCTACACCTTAGCTTATGCTGTGGTACTTTTAGTAGAAAACAAAACAATGTAGTACATAAATGATTCATTATAGAACTTTTAAAAGCATATGAGAAGGCATTTGAGCAGACTACTCAAAATTTGTCATCATGAAAAAATTAAATTACTTTTTTAAAGTAATTTTCAAGTAATAACATTACGTACTCACGTTTGTTATTCCTTATGTGCATTAAAATAGACCCCTGAAATTTTGACTTAAATTTTCCATATCCATATTTAGAGTACTGTACAAACATAATAATTAGAGTAACAGGCTAAATGATGTGCTACAACATGATTTTGCTTTTTGCATTTTATTCAATTTTCCTAAATTAAAGTTAGTATTTCTCATCAATATATAACGCCTAAAATTTTTTTGTAGTATTCATGGGCTTAAAAAAATGGCACTTGATTAATAGTCACTGGTCTGTACATTAAAAGTTACAGTTCCGACCTTATTTGGAAATCACTAAAAAGAGGAGGGATAAACGCTTTCATGGATGATCAGGTTGTGAATGCATCAGTTGTGTCACTAAGGTCTGGTTAATAATCTTGCACTGTGGTGTGTGACATTATCACTATTTCAATGCTATTCAAATGCAGCAACAACTCACTTGTATTTGCAGGACAAGCAACAAAGTAACATCTGTTCAATTTATTTAATGCAAACCAGAGCACAGACTTTCCATTCAAACAATGTTCAATATTTGACAATTCTAGGGCTTTAAAACAAACAGACCTGTTTGACATCAGATGAAAATACAGTCTCTTTGTCTCTGAGAAAATGTTACTGCAAGACAAAATTACAATAACTTAGAAATTGAAACAAAATGAAATCAATCATACAAAAAGCAGTCATTTGGTTTCTGTTGCGAGTATATGCTTTAAAACATTTCAGATGAGATGACCAGCTAAACCCAAAAAGATGCCATTAAAGGTGGGGTAAGCGATTTTTCAAAAACACTTTAGAAAACAGATTCGGGCAGAGTAGCAAAACAAACTTGTAGTCAATCAGCAGTAACGGGCGTAACTACTCATAATGTGGAGCAGAGCGCGTTCAGTGCACGGGACGGACATTAGCCGAGCCGAGCGACAGAAAGATAGAGATGGCGGATAAAAAAAACAAAAGAGGAAAACATCTGCGGAACAAAAGAAGGCTTAAGGCAAGAAGTAGGACCTGTGTAAATATCGGATCAGCTTTCCAGCACTGGAGAGAACTCGAGGAGCGGAAGGCCTGCGATCGGACGCCGAGGTTTTCTTCTCGATTGGTGAGTAACACCGTGTCTGCACCGCAACAGCTAAAGTCTGTCTAGTACACTGGACAAAACCACCGTTGAAAATCATTTGAAATTTGTGTCAATACGTCATGAATGGAAAGCAGCTGCAGTTTTGCTTTGTTTCACAGAACTAATCCGTTGCCTGGGTTGCGTACGTATGTATGGGGTGGAGCTATCAAAATAGGGGCGAGACACTATTGGGGTAGGGGCGTGTTTGTTTTGGTGATTTCAAATGTCAACATTGGCTACCAGAAATCACTTACCCCACCTTTAAAGCACTACATATATGTATACTGATCCACTTCCTTGAGGGCAAGCTGAACAGTGCATTACAACGATGTGCAGAAAATGTATCACTATGCCATCGTCATTCAGAGGTGTCCTCCAGAGATGTCCAACACCACAAAAATCACACAAGATACTTAAGGACTGAAACATAGATTGTGTTAATGTTAAGACTCATGTTTTGTTGCATTATTGTTCAATGCTAGTTCAATAATGTGAAATTAAAAGACAGAAATTTCAGTCAAAGAGAAAGTGTGTTTCTTGATTTCATTTGTTATCTTATATAAAAAAAAAATAGTGCGAGCTTGAGATTCTGGCATCAACTTAGCATGAATTTGGGACAGGTATAGTAAATGCATTTGTGAATTACATTTCATCTTAAGGTGATTTAAAATACAGTAGAGTTTGCAACACATGAAATCTGAATAGCCACATCCTTTAGAATTACATAATGTTGTTCATCAGTGTTTATCATCTGGGTCTTCATCTTAGTTAAGACTGCATTTCATGAAACAAAATATAAAGCAAAAACAATTTGCAAATAAAACACTGTCTTCAGACCATTTGTTCAAAAGAAATAAAAATAATTAAAAAATGGAAACTGTAGCCAATAGAAGCCACTCCTTTATTAAATGTAATACATGTCTTGTGGTTGAGTGCACAGATAAAACATTCTTACAAACTTCATATGCTAGCAATCGCCTACAATGTAAAATTTCAGAATGGCCAGAGAAACATGTTTTTTTCCTTCTCTAAGCAAATGATTCAGTCATATGATTTCGAGACAAAGACATGTCTTTTGAATGCACATCTAACAATTTAATCTGGAAATGTATTTCCATCATAGTTTATGTGCATGTGTTCTAAAAAAAATTTAAAATCATCCACCTCAAGCGAAGTGTATACATTTATTAAGCACATTATGCAAATTTTATTCACAATGGTTTTTCCATCCAGAATTTTTCATGCAAATTTTGGGATATGGCATAAAAATGCTGGTTGATGGAAACCCTGGAAGAATCTCATGATGTTGCTTAACAGCTGTTTAACATAAATGTAATTTGACCACACAGTCATCAAAAATGAAACAAAAAAAATAAAATAAAGACTTGAAGCTTACACTGTTTAGATCCCATATGAAGCTGTTATGACTTTACAGTAGTAACAACTGTTGTTATGGTAGGAATCTAGATGTTCTAATGTGTGTAAACTACATTCAGCCTCAAAGCAATAACTTTAAACCAAAAGGTTCAAATAAACAACAATGACATTTTACTCAGAGTCAAACATATGTATAGCCTGTTTTTTTGCTGCGACTCAAACATTTTGTCATTCTCCAAGATGATACCATTTATAAGATCAAATTTGGGCATCTATGAACAATTATCATTATTAAGAGCAAAACATTCTGAAACCATATCCAAATGTTACATATACTTTCTGTCAATACTTCGCAAAGAAAAACCTGCGTTCAGCTTGCAGAAATGAAAGAATGAAATTCAAAACATCTAGACATCAACCAAGAGTAAAGATGTAAATGTAGGTGCATAAATGTTTCCAAAATGCTCATATGTCTAATTGAAAATCACACTTTCTGATTTGTCCTGTCGATTCGCATGACTCTGCACGACCGGGTCGGTCGTTTCTCCTTCCCACGTTTCTGTTGAGCAGCCCGAAGACGTGCTAAAATGTGTTTTTTGGGGAACTTAAGGGTGGTACATCCAAACTGGCTAACTCCTCCTGTATCCCCAGGTAATTTCTCCCGTCTTTGGACCCAACTTCGCCAGCCAGGTTTCCAGCAGTAGACGCTGTCATAAAATCTCGATCCATTCTCACCACCCAATACATATATCCTGCGTTTCCATCTAGCCACACCTCCGGCAGCAATCCTCCTTGGCAGACCTGGAAAAACCACCGGACTAGGCGCACGGTCACTACCGCCTCCCCCTCGCTCAACTCCAACCGCCACCTCCCGCTCTAATCCTGATCCCCGTCCTTCTCGGAAGAACAACACTCGTCCTGTGGCATCTAGTGGTTCTGCCTGGGTGTAGTTGCCATTGAGGAACTTGGCGGCATCACGCAAGTAACCACCAATGGCACAAACGCCGCCACGTACTGCTATGCCTCCAGCCAGGCAGGTGGCGCCAGAATCAAGGGTGACACGGCTCCAGGTATTTGTAACTGTGTGGTATATAAGCACGCCAGCATGCACCACAGCCCTGCTCTGCTCCAGTGTGGTACCGCCAAGCAAGTAGAGACGACAGCGGAGGGCAGAGCAAGCAAAAGAACGTAATGGCAATGGCAAACGAGGTCCTGATGCCCAGGTCAGCGTGTTAAGGTCAAATTTTTCAGATGTGTCCAGAAATGCTGCTCGGTTACAGCCACCGAGAGCGTATAAAAAACCTCCGCAGCCAAGAAGACCCAACATCGCACGTGGTTCAGCCATCAATGGCTGCACGATCCAGCGGTTTAGCACGACATCGTACTCATGAAGTGCAGAGGAGACCTCGCCACTCCGCAGGATGCCTCCCGCCACAAACAGTCGACCTCCGACTGCAGTGCAGCCAGGACAAAGCAATGAGCCCAAGGCTGCCAGCTTCTCCCACTTCCCTGTACGAGGGTCGAAGCAATCCACCGTGAAGTCCCTTTTCTGTAAAGACTCATCCTCTCTTGGCTTAAGGTCTACACAGACTATTTTCTTCTCAAACATACCTTCTCTAGGCCTCAGCGGTCCTCCCATGCCCTCGGTACTGGCTCCAAGTCCAAGTTCTTGGTTCATTCGGTGGCTCTCTTCAGGGCCGAAAAGACCAGGGCGTAAATGGCGTAACAAATTGGGCATGTGAATGTAACGATCAGCCGGCTGGTATTCTGCCCAGCGCCTTGCTGCATTGTAAACTTCAGTCTCAGACTCCACACCCAATCGATCCGACTCCAACAAGCTGCCAAGAGTTCCTGGGTCCAACAGGAGGAAGTCTCGCTGCCGGGCCACTCGAGGAAAATGCTGGCCTACCAGCCTCAAAGAAGCCCGAAGAAGCAGCTGGTCATGATGTGAACGAGCCAGAGAGTACATGCCCAGGCAATTCTCCACAGACAGGTGCTCAAAAAGGAATCTAACAAACAGGGAAATAAAATGTGAGCATCAGCCAGACAAGATACAAGGTAGAACGATCACAATAGGATCACATCTAAATTTTACCTAGAGCAAAGGTCCTGCAAGGGCATCACTTGAAGACGATTGGCTGCTACAAACAGATCCTCTGCTGTGTCGAGACTAAGACCTGCTTCCCCTGTATAAACAAAGTGGATAACGGTCTCCATAACAGAAGGTGTCACCTCCTCCAGTCGGATCTCAGTAAGACGAGACTCTACGAGAGGGCTGGTAAACATGGCACGGAAATATGGACTGACTGCTGCTAAAAGAACTCTGAAAAAAGAAAAACAGTGCACATGTGTCAAAACAATAGTTTCATATGTACACTACCGTTTAAAAGTTTGAGATTGGTTTGAGATTTGTTATGATTGTTATGCAAAAATAAGTCCCTTATGCTCACCAAGTTTATAAATATTTTAAAATGTATTCTTGTGATGCGGAGCTGAATTTTCAGCAGCCATTGCTACAGCCTTTAGTATCACATGATCCTTCAGAAATCATTTTACAATATTGATTTGCTGCTCAAGAAACATTTCTTATTATCAATGATCAATGACAGCTGTGCTGTTTTTTTGTGTGTGTGTGGAAACCATGACATTTTTTTCCAGGATTTTTTGATGAATAGAACAGGGTTTCAAAAGAACAAAAGATCAGACAACCTTCAAAGCTGAAAACATAAAACTCACCTGTGACACATAAACTTTTTTCCCTCCACCACAAGAGTGACATCACACAACTGCTGAGCATCAAGCAGCTGTTTTAACCCTGAATGAGATGACAAAGGGAAAAACAAGGCTGATAAAAAGGTGGCTAAATGATTAATCAATGTTCTAATCAATGTCACTTTGCCACATTTGATGAATATAATGGCATTTGATTGTTTTGCTGTTTTTGAAGTACTGAAAAGTTTGTGTTTAATCATTATAGCAGAACTGGATCTCTGATGTCTACGTCTATGATCACTAGTGAAAATGCATCTATTTTGCATTATTTAATTGAATTCTAATCTGACTTTTTATTACAAATGTACTTCATTTGAATAGTATAGATATAAATAGTATAGAATGAAACAAGAAATGTCATTATAGAATCCATAATTCTAAAATAACATGATCCAAACAATCAATGTTCAAAACCACAACTGTTGTCTCACCCTGAGTTACATACTCCCCCAAAGGAGTCGAGTAGTCATCAGGAAAATCTTCTTCCTCTGAGTCGCTATCTGAGAGAGGTTCTCCACCACCTCTATCAGCATCCTTCCATGGCTGTGGTCGCCAGGTAACTGCATCACCTTTGACAGTATTCATCTGTGACAGGAAGTTAATTTAAAAGTACACTGTTTATATCTGATGCTCATATAGTGACAGTACAATACTGTGGTCACATTTATAATTTCTAGGGCTGAGAAGTACTTGAGGCCTTGGGTTTGAGTGCCTCAGATAACTTGCAACATCTCTGTTGTAAGTGTCATCGTGGCCTAATGGTTAGAGAGTCGGGCTTGGAACCCCAAAGGTTGCGGGTTCGAGTCTCGTACCGGCAGGGATTGTAGGTGGGGGGAGTGAATGTACAGCGCTCTCTCCCACCTTCAATACCACGACTGAGGTGCCCTTGAGCAAGGCACTGAACCCCCAACTGCTCCCCAGGTGCCCCAGCAAAAAAATGGCTGCCCACTGCTCCAGGTGTGTGTTCACTGCTGTGTGTGTGTGTGTGTGTGTGTGCACTTTGGATGGGATAAATGCAGAGCACTAATTCCGAGTATGGGTCACCATACTTGGCCACATGTCACGTCACTTTTAAACTTCTCAGTGAAAATGTAACCCTTACATGTATGGCATAACCTCCGCTGGCCTTCGGTTCGTCCCTTACATTCTTAAGCTGTTCTCTAAGCAATTACTTTTGTCCTCCTTCTCTAATCCCTTCATCAGAAACATAACTTATTAATAAAAAATAAAGGTTAAAAAGCTGTTTTCAATACATACAATAAAAATACTGAATTATACACACTTCGTAAGTATGTCAAAACAAATGGTATCTTTCATGCTTTAAAAGGTATGCAAGTGAATCTCTGTAACTCATGTTTAGATGAGCACAAATAAGATTAATCATATAATACAAGCGTTGATTGAATATACAGAAAACATAATTTTTTTAATTATACAATTTCCCAAAAGCTATTTGATGATCAGAATAGTAGTAATAGGATTACCAAAGTAACCTGATTCTTCATGCACCATGTGTAAATACATATTAATACAACACTGCCCCCGCCCAAATACAAACCTCCTACTGAGCATACAACTCTTGCTCATTAAAAGCATGTACATTTCGTAAATATTACCATTAGATGTGAAGCTTTCTATTAGAGAGCGAGAGAGTGGCCCCAGCAGTGCAGGTCTAGGAGATGCTTGGGGTGTCTTGAGTTCGACTTTGTGTATCAAGGCTCTCAGGGTGCCACAGTGGTACAGACGGCCTGACGCTCTGCGGCCCGTTCTCAACGCCTTGGCCTTCCCGTGTAGTTTCAGCGCAAATTGGTCGGCTCATTACGGTGTGTTGTCCATGCTTAGCATATGAGCACAAAAATACACCCGCGCGCCTGATATAGCCACACTGACGACCGCTGCTCCATGTAGATTATTAAGGGTTGGTAATCCGGACTGGCCTAAAGAAAACGCAGTCCCGAGAGAAATAAATGACCGTTTGATCAGTAATGTCAACTATTGCTCACAGCTGCTAACATTGCTCCATGATTGGAGTCGAAGCAAGCTGATGTCAACATATTCTGTTACACCAAATACACAAAATAATGATCTTTAAAATAGCATCATATGACCCCTTTAAGGGATAGTTTATGCACAAATTAAAAAATGCTGTCATCCTTTACTCACCACCATGTTGTTCCAAACCTGTATGAGTTTCTTTCTTCTGTTGAGCACAGAAAAATATATTTTGAGGACTGTTGGTAACCAAACAGTTGACGGTAGCCATTAACTTCCATAGTGTTTATCACAGGATTTTCATTTTTGGGGTGAACTTACCCTTTAAACTAAAATGTGATTGTTATGGTTGGAAATACAAAAAAAGGTGATTTACAGTTCTAAAAAATACTCTTTGCTTTATACATATAATTAAATTAACAGTTAAATGAACAGTTTATCAAAATATTGTTGATGATGGGCAATTTCTGGTGTATACTCTGGCTGTTATTTTCTGTAAGTAAATGGGGACTGGGTGTGTCAAACTCCAAAAAGGACAAAAAGCGTAGTTAGCAGTCCATATAATTAAGTCTTTAACTTCTAATCTTGATGTTGAAATAAAGATATTGTTTATGTTATTTGTCAACTGGTTATGTGCATCATTTATGTCTGGATAAAGATTTGCTTTAGTCAGTTTTTTCTTTTCTTCACATTTTTTTCTTTCAGGATGAACATGACAAATCTACGTTGGCTAGTGTAAGTGTCAGCTTTCTTTGATTTCTGTAAGTTTTTAGACTTCAGTTCGAAGAATTAAATATGATCTTTTGATGAATTAAAAGTTACTTGAGAATTTAAAGCTCTGAATATAACTATATTTTAGTGATGTTTCTGCTTTTCAGTATGTGCTGTGCATAATATGCATGACTTTTTCTACAATACTCTTTTCTTTCTCTGTTTTGTACTTGACAGCTAGAGGAGTACACAAGTGCTAGAGAAGAGGGTAGAGCAATCAGAAAGAAACTTGGTCAGTTGTATGTGCAAGAGGGTGAGCTGGAGAAAGAGCATTACTGCCGTGCCCTAAGATTGCCCAACAGAACACATCCAAGTGTGGTAAGAGACCGCTCACTTTTTCACAATACAAAACAATTGGGGAAAACCCTAGGAAATGCCTTATTTTCAATTCAAAAGGACATTTTAATAGTAATAAACAGGAAAGCAAAGGTGTGCTTTTACTTAACAGGAATGTTATTTTTCTCCTCTTTTCTTATAGCCAATAGGGGATGAGAGCCAAGCAAGAGTGGTTGAATTGGTTGGTGAGAAACGAGGTAAATTTATTTGACATAAACCATATTATCACTCTCCTTAAATTGTTTGGTCAAAAATACAATTTAGGGTTTGGTTAGTAGCAGCAATCATGACTTGTATTGACCTTGAGGTTTGACTTTCCTGATTTCCTGCAGAAGTTGACAGAAATTCTCTAATGAGATCAGTGTTTAACACAGTATTTTAGTTATTTTATGTAAATATTTGTTGTTAAGTACCTTTATCATGGCAGTGCCTGGTAAAATGTTTTGCAAATGCATTGATGTGTACCACAAGATGTATTGTAATATACCATAGTGTCTTGTGTCCACTATAGAATTTGATTTTAAACCAAAAGGCCACCTGGAAATTGGAGAGAGTCTTGACATCATAAGACAAAGGTTAGATGTTTTCTTTCTCTCATGCTTTAATTTTATTTAATATTTTTTATTTGTTTTTCATTTGTATCTCTTTCCTCTTAGACGGCTCGCCCATGTGTCTGGGCACAGATCATACTACCTCAGAGGTGCAGGAGCCAGACTTCAGTTTGCCTTGCAAAATTATACTATGGATTTGCTTCAGAAACGGGTTAGTATGTTTTCATCTTTTGGAATAATTTGTACCCGTGAATGGAACTTACTAATGTAAACTGGGTCCATTTTTTTCAAGTTGACTTAATGCAAACATCACTGTTTCGATTTCTTAATGCATTAATTATGCATTAAAATTAAAATGCATCAATTGTTGTTTTAAATTCTTATAATTTTACAGGGCTTTATTCCCATGGTTGTTCCTGACATGTTAAAATCAGTGGTTTTTGTGAGTACTCAAAATGCATTGTTGATTTTTATGTAGCAACATTTTTATACATTAAAGTTGTGTATTAAGGTTCTTAATGGAAAGATGTCATATAAAGTTTACAAAACTAGCTAACTTAGTAAAAACCTACAAAGAATCTCCATGACATGGAGCTATTTTTGCATCTGTTGTTTAGGAGGGTTGTGGGATGCAGCCTAATGCTCATAAATCACAGGTGTACTCTCTGGACCCTTCACACTTTCCTGACCTTAATCTTGCTGGTACTGGGGAAGTAGGAGTGGCAGGTGAGAAAATCATGAACTTCTGTGATATGATCGTTAATCATATGATAATTTGAATGTAATAAAATATGTAAGTTAAAATTTCAACTCTACTATAAATTAAACAGTTATTTTATAAATTAATGTCTTTTTTTGTTACATGTTAGCTATTGCAATTAATCAAATTATTCTAAAATATAGACCAGCAGGCACCAATATTTGAGGTTTTCAAATACTTCACACAGGGTTTCGCGGGGCACTGAAAAGCATTAAAAGTCATGAAATGGATTTTGTGAAAATTAAGGCCTTAAATAGCATTAAAAGCATTTCAAATTTCATTTCTACAGGCATAATTTTTTAGATGGATTTGGAGAAAAATGTAACCAGTGTATTTTGAATAAAGGGCCTTCATAATCAATAACTTTGATAATAAATAATGAATAAATTTGCTAACCAAAAATTATCCAGACACCAGATATCATAAACTTACATTTATCTAAGTGAGGATAGCAAAATAAAGTAAACTGTGACATATTATACCCAAAAATTCTTCATACAGTGGACTACCAGTAAAATTGATAAAAATTTGGGACCAAATATGATTCAGACACGTTGACCTGACCATGTTTTGCTTAAAGGTGCACTAAGCAATTTTTGCCAAACGATGTTGATATTTGAAAGCACCAAAACAAACACGCCCATACCCCAACAGGACCTCGCCCCTATTTTGATAACTTCGCTCCACACGTACTTACACAACCCTGGCAGCGTCGATGGCAGAATCTGCTATGCCTGCCGGCCGCAGCATATTCAGGCAAAAGCCAACACAGAAAAGTTGTGTGTGAGAGTAAAATCAACGTAACTCATCTTTTAAGAAGAAACAAAGCAACCTCAGCGTCCGATTCCAGGCCTTCCCGCTCCTTGAGTTCTCTCCACCGCTGGAAAGCTGCTCCAATATTTACACGGGTCCTACCTCTTTTCTGATTGTAACCCTTCTTTTTAATGTTTTGGTCCTCCGAAATTTGCATCTTTTTTTCCTCTCGATATCTATAGTCAATCTGCTAATATCCATCCTGTGCTCTCTTCTCCCTATCATTACTAGACACACCCCTTACTGTTGGTTGGCTGCGAGGGTGTTTAGGGACTCGGCCCGACACAGTGGTCAAAAGCGTTTGTAAAAAATTGCTTGCTGCACCTTTAAGTGTTATCTGACATTATCAAGATGAATTTGTTCTGACACGGTTTAACTCTGAGTTCTTGTCATATTTTATGACCATTTTCTAAACTATAGCAAATAAACAGTGATAATGTGTGAAATGTTGAAGGTGTCTGAATAAATTTTGGTTTAACTGTATATACATCAGTGTGATACACATGTGGAACCAGTTTGGTAATTGTTTCCAATCGGTGCAAAATTGCCGTAACGCCGTATCTCAGGACCGTGGCGGACTGGGACACGGTGGAGTAAAACTAAGAGCAGAGAATGTAAATGTCATAAATTTGGAAAGAAATTGTGTACTGCAATTGAGCAATTTCGGTGAGAATGATTCTGATTTTATTACATTCGTTGTAAATGATGATTGATAATGAATAATGTAGTGAATGTAACAAGGTCGCACCAGTTGAGGCTCGCGCAGCCTGTCTGTGTGTGAGAGAATATCATGGAGAAATCAAAACACATGAGCACAGACTACTCATAGAACAAACATACAGCAGTAAATATTGAGTTTTTACATTTATAACATGATATAGCCTACTTAAGCAACATGAGACAACCAAGAGAGTGCTGTTTTCCGAATATCAGCATGAATGCAGATTTGACATGATTTTATTCATTCAATAAATGAGTAGGCTAATAATCATTAAAAAATCTCTGAGCAACACACAGTGGTGTTTCATTACTGAATGACTCAGCATTTTTGATAATCATTTGAGTCAATGATTCAGTGATCCATTCATAAAGACTTGCTTGATTCTTAAATGAATTAGGCGTCTGAATGAATCGCTTAAACTAATGACTCAAATGTTCACACATTAACATGTCACCTGCCGCCACCTACTAGCAGTTTATTCTCATATTTGAAAGTATCATTGCATTTTTTCCAACTTTTCATATTTGTATATTAAAAATAATTTAAAACTATGCTCATAACATTATTTATGCAGTTGTAATTTTGCAATGTAAATGCATTCATCATACATTTAAAGGGGTCATATGATGCGATTTCAAGTTTTCCTTTCTCTTTGAAGTGTTACAAGCTGTTCATGAATAGATAAGATCCCTAAAGTTGCAAAGACTAAAGTATCAAAACCCAAAGAGATATTCTTTATAAAAGTTAAGACTCGTCCACGCCCTCCTAAAACGCCTTGTTCAAACATGCCCCCACATGTCTACGTCACGATGTGGGAAGATTTGCATAACGCCGCCCAAATGTATATGCAAAGAAAGAAGGCATAACTTTGATTCTCGCTGTAGTATTGTTGCCGCCACCGCCCTGTCGTGGAGACGCTGTGTGTTTTGTTGTGAAAGCGAAACTACTTTGTTTGGTCTTCAAAAGAGTACACACCTAGAAATCAGTGGTTAAGTTGTATTTACAACACTGTTCCAGAACAGTTCAACCCAAATATTCAGATGTGTGCAACGCATTTTACGGAGGACGAGGACTGTTTCCTGATCCTGGTAGAGTAGCCTACAATGCCGGTGTTCCGCTGAATTCAGTTCCCCTGTTTTCCCTTCGGTGCGCATGCTGACCCTATACAGTCTATGATGCTGACAAATAATGCTGACTCACAGCCTGTAAGTATGTTTTCATATTAAAGGATTTGCCACTCATGATTCAAATGCGAGTTTTGAGCAGTCTAGATTAGCGCTTGTTGTTTCTCCAATCACAAATGCAGACATGGTTTTATGTTTACGTGGCACGATGTAACGCAACGCGTAAAAAGACAGTATAAGTCATTATAATCAGTAATTATGTCCCCACTGGATGCAACAAATGCCTCGTTTATAATGGGTTTTTATTGGTTTTGTCTCGTCGCAAAAAAATGAATTTTGTTGATACTGATTTTAGTTGATTGGTAACAGCCAGTAGTGTCTTATTATAATACAAACCCGATTCCAAAAAAGTTGGGACACTGTACAAATTGTGAATAAAAACAGAATGCAATGATGTGGAAGTTTCACATTTCAATATTTTATTCAGAATACAACATAGATGACATATCAAATGTTTAAACTGAGAAAATGTATCATTTTAAGGGAAAAATAAGTTGATTTTAAATTTCATGGCATCAACACATCTCAAAAAAGTTGGGACAAGGCCATGTTTACCACTGTGTGGCATCCCCTCTTCTTTTTATAACAGTCTGCAAACGTCTGGGGACTGAGGAGACAAGTTGCTCAAGTTTAGGAATAGGAATGTTGTCCCATTCTTGTCTAATACAGGCTTCTAGTTGCTCAAATGTCTTAGGTCTTCTTTGT